TTACTAAGAAACTCCTTTACGTAATAATTGAGTTTACTTCTACCAACTAATCCATCTTTGTCTGTAACTCCGGACGAAAGACCGTTCTTTGATTGCATTGTTCCTATTTCTCTTTTAACAAATAGCAAATTGTAAAGTTTCAATTATTTTGAATGATTATTTTGGATAACACGTACGTGCATTATGTTTTTATATTGTTTGCAAAGTGCTAAACTTAACATAAGAATTAAAACTAAGAGAGCTAAAGAAATTGTAACACATTACTTTTCTTTCTTAAAATTATAATCTCTGTGGGTGTTTTTTCTCGAAATTTTTTTATTTCACGGGCAAGCGTTGATAAACAGCGTGACTGACAATGACTATTAATAATAAATAACCTGGGGAACACCAGGCAATTTAGCTAGTTTCAAATATATTTAGTAGGAATCAGAATTAGGGATGGATAGTTTTCACTTTTTTTGAAAAACGGTCGTTTCGTTTTTTTAATGTCAAAGAAAAAACTAAAACGAAACGGTCGTTTTCTCAAAAACGATAGTTTTTAATAACTATCTCGGACGTTTTTGGAAAGGTATCAATTTTGCACAATCAACCCGTTATCCGTTTTGCTTTTAGTTTTAAGCTTTAGCTAACTGTCTAGACTCAGTACTTACACCACACAATACCTCTTAATTCTTAAAATAGTCAATTTGAAATATCTACTGAAACAAACTAACAACCTTTTTAAAGCAAAATGCATTATTTGATCAGGAACCCTTTGGATCAAATATAATCAGGTCAGTTCACTCGACCAATAAAAACAACGAATTAGACAACATTCATAAACTTTTCTCACCTTAAAACAAAACTAATTAAATATCGACAAAATCATATTTATTAGAGAAATTATGTTTTCAGGAACGGTTTTTTTAAAGAAACTATCGTATCGTTGTTTCGTTTCTTGTTTTTCAAAAGTTCAAAACGAATAGTTCGTTCGTTGTGACCCATCGTTCTTTGATCGTTTTGAAAATGATTTAACAACCCTCATGCAGAGAACTATAACAGAGATTATCTAAGATATCTCGGTCAAACCCTGTCACAAATAGTTTAAGCTAGACCTAAAAACTTGTTATCAGTTTAAAATAGTAATTACAAAAAAGTAAATACTGGTTCTAAAGTTAAAACTTTAAATCATGACCACTGGATTACCGTTCGCCTCATTGCTCTCAATGACTATATCTCTTTCAGATATCCGGACATAAACTTGAAATTAGTTTTCCTACATATTAGAAAATGTGAGTTTTAATCTTGATTCATGGATTCAAATAAAACCACGGACTCGGGTCAACTTTTCCTTAATCTCATTCGGTTTCAAGAACTTTATAAAGATTAATTATGTTATAGAGATAAAACAGATAGGGGGATAGATAGACAGATAGATAGATAGATAGATAGATAGATAGATAGATAGATAGATAGATAGAGAGATAGAGAGATAGAGAGATAGAGAGATAGAGAGGTGAATAGAGAGGTGATTAGAGAGGTGATTAGAGAGGTGAATAGAGAGGTGAATAGAGAGGTGAAAAGAGAGGTACATAGAGAGGTGAATTTGTAGAATAGGTAAATGATAGTTAAAAGCGCGGAGGCGAATAGATAGTTAAATATGTTGAATAGGTGAAGAGATAGGTAAATATGTTGAATAGGTAAATGGATAGGTAAAAGCGCGGGATGAAATTCGATTGCATTTAATTTTTTTAATCATAAAACAAAACCAAAATTTGTGTTTTGAACAGCTGTGAGGAAAAAACTGTAGTTTGATCTAGAACCAGATTTATAATGAATAGAGAACCATAGTTGAACTAAGTTGACTTGGTTGAACCACTTCTCTTTAGGTTGACCTGGCGCACTAAGTAGTCTACCCGGTTCAACCATTTCTCTTGTGCGCCAATTCAACCATGTCTCGGTTACAACCGATAAAAACTACAAAATCTTAAATTTCTAAATAAAAAGATGCATAAAGATCAATCATGTTTCACTGTAATTGTGCATATCAAGGATTAAATTATTGATCTTGGTACAGATTTCATTTTCAGTTAATCTTCAAGATCCAGAATTGATTCTAGAACGCTTCTCTCAGAATCTTGAATAGTGCGAATGAATAGTTTTATCATGTCAATCTTTTTCCAGTGTGTGTTCCAACAACTGCAATCCTTGTATATTATTTCCTTTAAACATGTATTCGTTTGTTTTTAATAGTCATAGTTCTGAACAGTGCTGGTGCCCCTTTGATACAGGATGTCTCAATAAATATGGGAATTTAGTGAAAAATTTGAAAGAAATAGCGTTGTATTTTCTTATTTCAAACTTTATAAAATAATCATGTCTGCTTGAATTTATTTTATGAAAACGATGAAAGACTTCAATAGCGTGTCTGTTTAACTGTCTCTGCAAAATGTTTTACACAGTATGCAATTGAAACTAAATTTCATTCTGAACCAAAACAATCCACCCATATTTTTGAATACAACAATTGGCAATTCTAAATTTATCTCCATAATTTATTTTGTAAGAATATTTAAATTTATACAGAACGAATATGTGATACAAGAAGGTACAACACCTCTAACAAACCCAAATTAAAAGTACTAAAAACTAATCATTTCAAAGCGTGTACAAATCCACTCAACATACTGAAATATGACCTTTTTCTGTACTTTTAAAAATCAAGCACGACTTGAATTTCAAAATTGTGTGAACATAGATTTTATCATAAAGCTTAAGAGGTTTTAATATCTCTAATAATTGTGGTCGAATTTAATGCAGAATTTAAATTTGAAGCTCGGCTATTTGAAGTCCGGGGACGGCAGGTACAGGTGTAAGATTAAACAGCTGTAGGTCAGCAGGGTCCTGTGTTCCCAGAGCTGGTTCCTGGAGACCGACAGGTAGACCTGGAACTGCTGGAACGGGTTCCAAGAATAGAATGTTCTCCGGTGTCTGGTTTAATGCATCTCTCAGATCAATTTCTGGGAAATCATTCTTAACAAAGAGGTCATCACCAAGAGGTTTGTTGATGGAATATTCTTGTTCAATATCTAAGAATGGTTCTTCAAGAAAAGATTGCTCAACAAAATCTTCAACAGGAGCTTGAACTTCCTCTGAAAATCCTTCGTTTACTCCGTCAAAGACTTCTCCGTCCTCTCCTTGTGCAACATTAGCTGTTGCATCTAACTCTGGGATATTTTCGTCCTGTACAGGTGGTAGCACAAGATCAGAACTGCTCATTTTAACAGGAAACATTTCTTCTGCTTTTACCGTACTTATCTTTTGTTGTACCGGCATCTGAACCGGTACATATCCCAGCTGTTGAACCGGTTTCTGTACATAGGCCTGGTGATGTACTCTGCCAGAGTTGTATTGAAGTCCTGCAGCCTTGTAATTGTGATGAGAAGGATACCTGGAGTACCCGGATACTCTCACGTAACCTCCAGGGGACCCTGAGCTGTATCCATGATGGGACCCGGAGATATAGGCTGAACCTTGATGAGCATATCGTCTGTAGAATGAATTGTAGGTTGGAGAAGCAAGCACTGAACAGCTAGCACAGCCTAATACGAGAATCTGAAATATTAAACTTAAAAGCTTACACAAAAAAAAATGTATCCAAAATGTTTTTTCTACCACCCCTGTGGAAATCTCCTTAACAAGCAAGTCATTAAAGTAAGAGGTCTATTTTTTTATGACTAAGCCTTGACCAGTTGGAACAGAGGGATATATATCACACTCCCTTATCTCAACACTAAGGGCAAAACCTATAGGGGGGCGTATTTATTTCTAAATGTTTTCAAAAATTAAAATTAACATAGAATGTACTCTTAAACTGAACGTAAAAATTAACTCTCGCATTAAATTTTGTTGATCCCTGCACACAAACTTGTTTTAACTAATAATTTATAAACAACCTAAACACGGTTCTAAAAATTTTATATTTCCGTGCCAAAAAATGCGTTCAATTTAGCTTTTTAAGAGACTCTTGTTCAAACTTGTATGCACAAGTTTAAATATGTATAGCAGCTACAGACCATAAACCATAGATTAATAATAAAATAGATAGAACACAAGGTTTTTTCTTTTAAAGATTTAGGGGTTTTTCGTTCACAATAACCCTAAGTCAGAAGCCCAAAGAAGTTCCGCTCAGGCAGCGCCTGCTCTATCTCTGTCTTGTTATTAAAAGCTGCCTGCGCTGAACTATTTTGGGCTTCTGCCTCTTAGGGTTATTGTGTACGAAAAATCCCTAAATCTTGAAAATACGACATCTAGTGTTCTATTTATGTTATTAATCTATGTCATGAACCAAGAAAATTCGCAATCTGACCATTAACTTGTCTGGTATGTTGACCTTTTAAAATGTTTGATAATTCCACAGATTACAGGCGGCAAATAAATACCAAGCCAACTAAAACTAAAGTTGTATATTTCAGAGAGCTCAGAATACAAAAAGTTGTGTTTTGGACTTGAACTCCACCTTTTCTTAACTTTCAGATGTATCTAAGCTTTATTCGATTTTCCGCATGGTATTCATACCCTGCAGGAATTAAAGAGATTAAGCATTGATTCTCAAATTGGAAGTGCCCATGGTGGATATAGAGATCAAGTGATCGTGGTTATGATTAGCCAACACAAAAGTTAGCAATTAGGGGTTTAATAAATAGAATAACTGTGATTTAAAATTTCTTTATCATAAAATATCCCTTTATTGACAAAAATCCCTGTATAAACAAAAAGCTCTCTATAAAAATCCCTTTATATAGACAAAAATCCCTTGACGAAAAAAAATTTCAAACAAAATTCCTTTAATTAACAAACATCCCTTTATTGAAAAAATTCCCTTGATACACAAAAAATCTAATATTGACAACATTTTTTAGAAAAAAATCCCTTCATTGACAAAATCTCTTTATTGACAAAAATCCATTTGTAAACAAAAATTCTAATATTGACAACATTTTTTAGAAAAAAAACAAAAATCACTTTACTAAGAAAAATCTCATTATTGACAAAAATCCCTCTATAAACAAGAATTCTAATATTGAAAACCATTTTTAGAAGAAACAAAAATTACTTTATTGACAAAAATTCCTTTACAAAATCCCTTAAAACACAAAAATCTCTTAATTGTCAATAATCCTTTTATAATCAAAAATCCCTTTATCATCAAGGATCCTAGCATCTTATACGATTACCCCTCACTCCCCATCTTTAACCAATCTTATCTATTACAAAACCAATGTTTGGTGACCTTTAACACTCCCCTCCACCTTCCCGCGTATACTCTAGTGTATATTCATGCATAAGGCACTATACTCAGCATGGTTCTGGTTTAAATGTCAGTATCATGGTTTATGTTTTGCCCAAGTTTGGATTAGTGCAGGGTGTGCGGGGTAAACAGTAAAGTCATTCAACACATTTTTATATAAAATTTCGTAGTTTTCAATTTAGCTTGAATTTAGATAAATCTCGACCATTTTCTTTCACGTTTTTACTCCGAAAATCTGCAAACGACTTCAAATTTATCCGACATACCCCAAACAGACAGGGTTACCCATAAAGGATGGGACTTTAGAGCCGACTGTAAGGAATTTATTCAGTCTTTATTTTATTCAAGGTTCCTTGTAGCTCTAATGGTAGTTCCAAATCAATAAGTAAGCACAGTTCACCATTCAAAGTCTATATTAAAACTTTAAATCGTCATTAATTCCCCATCCTTTGCGGGAAACCATGTTTATTGATCCTTGCTTCTCTGATAAAGATTTAAAGTTTAATTATAATATGATTTTTATATAGATACACCCTATAATTTAAAGTCTTGGCATGAATTTATCTGATTTTATTAAATAACTTTAGCGTTCCTTGATATGAGTGGGATACAGGTTTAAGGGGAGAACTCAATATATGCTTGGGGAGGGAGTAGGTGGGAGGGATACTTTGGAGTAGGTAGAAGGGATACTTGGGAGTAGGTGGGAGGGATACTTGGGAGTAGGTGGGAGGGATACTTGGGAGTAGGTGGGAGGGATACTTGGGAGTAGGTGGGANAGACATTGAGTAGGTGGGAGGAATACTTGGGAGTAGGTGAGAGGAATACTTGGGAGTGGGTTTGGTAAAAATAAGAATAAAATAAAAGGCAAGAATATTACGAAAAATATTTATAAAAAAGTATTTTTGAAAAATTCACTGAGGTTAAAAATATTTTTAATTTTAAATTGCAAGTTTAATGGAATAGAAGCTAATTTATAAAAAGATTACAGGTCTAAGATAACCAGAGCCGTCCAACAAATTAATAAATTTTTCAAAACCTACAGAAATGAACCTAATTGACCGTTACCACACTTCAGATACCTTTTAATATTGAACATTCCACACAGCTAGGGTTGCGACTAAAAAGCATTATTAAGGCTTTGCTTTTTATCTTTGGTTAACCATAAATAAACTTTGGTTAACCATAAATAAACTTTTGATAACCATAAATAAACTTTAGTTAACCATAAATAAACTGTTGTTAACTATAAATAAACTTTAGTTAACCATAAATAAACTTTTGTTAACCGTAAACAAACTATAGTAAACCAGAAATAATTTATTGAATAACCATAAATAAACTTTAGTTAACCATAAATAAACTTTGGATAACCCTAAATAAACTTTAGTAAACCATAAATAAACTTTGGTTAACCATAAATAAACTTTAGTTAACTATAAATAAACTTTGGTTAACCATAAATAAACATTAGTTAACCATGAATAAACTTTGGTTAACCATAAACAAACTTTAGAAAACCATAAATAATCTTTGGTTAACCATAAATAAACTTTTGATAACCATAAATAAACTTTAGTTAACCATAAATAAACTGTTGTTAACTATAAATAGACTTTAGTGAACCATAAATAAACTTTTGTTAACCGTAAAAAAACTTTAGTAAACCATAAATAATTTATTGGATAACCATAAATAAACTTTAGTTAACCATAAATAAACTTTGGATAACCCTAAATAAACTTTAGTAAACCATAAATAAAATTAGGTTAACCATAAATAAACTTTAGTTAACTATAAATAAACTTTGGTTAACCATAAATAAACTTTAGTTAACCATAAATAAACTTTGGTTAACCATAAATAAACTTTAGTCAACCATAAATAAACTTTGGTTAACCATAAACAAACTTTAGAAAACCATAAATAATCTTTGGTTAACCATAAATAAACTTTTGTTAACTATAAATAAACTTTGGATAACCATAAACAAACTTTAGAAAACCATAAATAATCTTTGGTTAACCATAAATAAACTTTTGTTAACTATAAATAAACTTTGGATAGCCATAAACAAACTTTAGAAAACCATAAATAATCTTTGGTTAACCATAAATAAACTTTTGTTAACTATAAATAAACTTTGGATAACCATAAATAAACTTTAGTTAACCATAAATAAACTTTAGTTAACCATAAATAAACTTTAGTTAACCATAAATAAACTTTGGTTAACCATAAATAAACTTTAGTTAACTATAAATAAACTAAACTTGACGCCTTAATTAAATGGATAGAGTGGAACAAACGATTCAAAAACTTTTAAAGTGAAAATTAATTTTATGAAACGTTTGTGTACTTTTCTTTCAATGACTGTTTCAAGAGCAACTAAGCTTTGAAACAAAGCAGAAGTCAAAAAATAATGTTGATTTCAATTTTATTTTCATTTCAAATAAAAAAAAATGTTTCGAAAATATCCTACATTTTTTGGAGAAAATCCGGGAACCAATCAAAACTTTATAGCACATGTGTTAACATCGAATTTAACGTTATAGCACGATGATTACTTTAAAGCACCTTCATTATGAAATTCACGATGAAGTGAGTAATAATGATAAAGTACACAATAGTTTCATTAAATTTTAATTCCATGCAGGCTCTTATGATAAACAGAAACTTAGATAAGGCAATATGTAAAATTGAATAAACATTTCATGATTCATGAATTTATAAGTAAAATTCAAAAGTATGATTCTAATTTTTTGTGTATACTAAAAAATGTATACCAAACACAGAACATAAGTTTTTAGAAAGGTTGTGTTATATAAAAACAAGCTATGATAGGTGCATCAAGTCTTAAACCATCTATTTTTATCAAAAAAAACTGTTAACAAACAGTTGCCTTGTGCAAAGACGTGTTTTTTTACCAAAACATATTTTTTTCAAGGAATGAAATTTTTTCACACAAATGAAATAACTAATATTTTGTTGATCGAGGATTTTCATTGAAAAAGTTATTTTAGTTTTTATCCTTTTAAGTTTATTTTAGTGCAAGTCAAGTTATTCTAACTCGAGATCTGAGAAAGGGGGGCCTAAGGTGCCTACAGCCTGGGGGGGGGAGGGTTAACCATTTTTAAAAATAAAATATGATAAGGATGCCCCTGAAAGAAAATAAATAAAGTCCCCTACCACTGCTGTGCTCCAGTTCATGGTATCGTCTGTATTCAACTATATCACAACGCGCAGCGCGCGCAACAATTCTTCAACGATGAGACTTTGGATATTCTGAATATACTCGTTAAGCGCTCATAGGTTACGCACCTTACCAATCCTACGCATGACGCAACTCTGAAATTACGCAATATACGCATTATCTCCAGATAAATTACTTTAATTAACTCATAGCAACCCCAAAGTCATTCAACACATTTTTATATAAAATTTCGAACATCTGTTTATATTATTTCCAATTCTGGAATAAATATCTTGATCCATTTTATTTGAATCTAAATTTAATTTGTAAATCGGCAAATGTGGGTTTACATTTAACCTTATAAAGTACAGTCTAGAAGGGGTCGTCCCCCCCCCTCCCAGGAAAAAGGCTTGAAAGAAAAGATATACGGTTACAATGCATGTTCATAGCCTAATTTTTCAAAGTCCACTCATTTAAAATATACTGCTAACTTTAATAGTTAGGGTGCTATGATGGAGGTTTGCAAAAAAAATGTAAAAAAAGGTCGGAAAAATGTAAATATACATTTTTATGTTTTTGACAAATATTAGGCTGTGACACATGTATTTGCATCCATTTTTTAAGGAAAATTTTAATTTTTGATCTTTTATCACAAAATAAAGTAAAGGCTATTTTTATATTTTTTTGGACGGACCGGTCTTTCTACTGTCCAGTATCCTACACTATGCATATGCATTCATTTTTTAAATCTTGTTTGTGCAAATACCCAACGCCTTAGGAAACTGTTTTTTTAACACACTTTCGATTCCTATATTATTTTTCAAATAGCTTTCTGAAAAAAAAATATCATTATAAAGTCAATTAAAAACTCATAAAATAAGAAACATTAAAATCGTAAGTTTATTCTCATGTTTTATCTATTTATCTCCTAAAATAACATTCATCACATGATTCAGGCTAACGCACTGTCTATGTATCTAAATATTTTAACTTTTTAGGGGGGGGATTCCAACCTCCCCCCCCTTGTGTTTTTGCCCTTGTTTAGATAGGGGAGTATGCTGCGCGTATGTATGGTGCATGGTTCTAGTTTTACTTTTCAGGGTTAGTTCATTAAAAAATATGCCTCTAACTTTTATGAAAAGGGATTATGGAGGGCTTTAAAAAATGTGTCAAAAATTTTAAAAATATATATTTTTGTTTTTGCAAAATATTAAGATGTGACAATTTTTAGTACACCCATTTTTCAAGCTGTAGCTAAATTTATAAAAAAAATTAGATTTTTTTTTTCTAAAACTCTGACCCACCGTTTGACCCTACCCTACGCATAAAAAAATTGGCTATATATGTGCCCAGATGCCGAATTTAAAGAATTTGAGCCGATTTTTGGCGGATTATTATTTTGAATTTCTGCTTTGTAACCGGATAAGTTTCATACTTGTAACCGGATAAGTCTCATACTTGTAACCGGATAAGTTTCATACTTGTAACCGGATAAGTTTCATACTTGTAACCGGATAAGTCTCATACTTGTAACCGGATAAGTCTCATACTTGTAACCGGATAAGTCTCAAATCCATGATAGAAGAGCTGTACGTGATCACAAAGTCGAATCAGTAATGTCGCATAAATTTGACCTCCTCCTTTTGTCTAATTCATTATGAAAAATTTCACTTTTACTTTTGAACTCTGGATCAGCGTAGTGAACAGATACAAATCTTTTGAACTCTGGATCAGCGTAGTGAACAGATACAAATGTGAACAGATACAAATCTTTTGAACTCTGGATCAGTGTAGTGAACACATACAAATCTTTTGAACTCTGGATCAGCGTAGTGAACAGATACAAATCTTTTGAGCTCTGGATCAACGTAGTGAAGAGATACAAATCTTTGAACCATGGATCAACGTAGTGAACAGATACAAATCTTTGAACCATGGATCAACGTTGTGAACAGATACAAATGTGAACAGATACAAATATTTTGAACTCTGGATCAGCGAAGTGAACAGATACAAATCTTTTGAACTCTGGATACGCGTAGTGAACAGATACAAATGTGAACAGATACAAATCTTTTGAACTCTATCAACGTAGTGAACAGATACAAATCTTTGAACCATGGATCAACGTAGTGAACAGATACAAATGTGAACAGATACAAATATTTTGAAATCTGGATCAGCGAAGTTAACAGATACAAATCTTTTGAACTCTGGATCAGCGTAGTGAACAGATACAAATGTGAACAGATACAAATCTTTTGAACTCTAGATCAGCGTAATGAACAAATACAAATCTTTTAAACTCTGGATCAGCGTAGTGAACAGATACAAATCTTTTGAACCCTGGATCAGCGTAGTGAACAGATACAAATCTTTTNTCGCAAAGTTGTATCAGTGATGTCCTATATACTAGACAAGCTACGAGGTCGCAAAGTTGTATCAGTGATGTCCTATATACTAGACAAGCTACGAGGTCGCAAAGTTGTATCAGTGATGTCCTATATACTAGACAAGCTACGAGGTCGCAAAGTTGTATCAGTGATGTCCTATATACTAGACAAGCTACGAGGTCGCAAAGTTGTATCAGTGATGTCCTATATACTAGACAAGCTACGAGGTCGCAAAGTTGTATCAGTGATGTCCTATATACTAGACAAGCTACGAGGTCGCAAAGTTGTATCAGTGATGTCCTATATACTAGACAAGCTACGAGGTCGCAAAGTTGTATCAGTGATGTCCTATATACTAGACAAGCTACGAGGTCGCAAAGTTGTATCAGTGATGTCCTATATACTAGACAAGCTACGAGGTCGCAAAGTTGTATCAGTGATGTCCTATATACTAGACAAGCTACGAGGTCGCAAAGTTGTATCAGTGATGTCCTATATACTAGACAAGCTACGAGGTCGCAAAGTTGTATCAGTGATGTCCTATATACTAGACAAGCTACGAGGTCGCAAAGTTGTATCAGTGATGTCCTATATACTAGACAAGCTACGAGGTCGCAAAGTTGTATCAGTGATGTCCTATATACTAGACAAGCTACGAGGTCGCAAAGTTGTATCAGTGATGTCCTATATACTAGACAAGCTACGAGGTCGCAAAGTTGTATCAGTGATGTCCTATATACTAGACAAGCTACGAGGTCGCAAAGTTGTATCAGTGATGTCCTATATACTAGACAAGCTACGAGGTCGCAAAGTTGTATCAGTGATGTCCTATATACTAGACAAGCTACGAGGTCGCAAAGTTGTATCAGTGATGTCCTATATACTAGACAAGCTACGAGGTCGCAAAGTTGTATCAGTGATGTCCTATATACTAGACAAGCTACGAGGTCGCAAAGTTGTATCAGTGATGTCGCATATAATAGACAAGCTACGAGGTCACAAAGTTGTATCAGTGATGTAGATTTGTGCAAGTTGTGCATAAAATAAGCAGAAAACATAGAATGTTAATGTTTAAATATGTCAAACGAGTTAAAATTCAGTGTTAGAAGTTGTAAACTTCATTCCAAACTTAAATTAAAAATATTTTTTTATGCGGGTTTATAGGTATGAATTTGCAAAATCGTAACTCCTCTTGTATATGAAAGAAGCAATATCATTAGGGGTTTAAATAGAGTATTTGTGAGTATATAGTTGAAATTATAATTGACATAAATCAATTTATTAAAACAAAATTGAAAAACAAAATTTTTTTAGAAACATTTAGACAAATAACCAAACACATTATAAAACGGGAAGACAAGAAGATAAATAAATAAATTTTAAAAAACAGAATTGTAAAATATATTAAATTGCTTTAGGATTAAACTCTTACATGTTTTTAGTCGAAAGAACAAAAATGTGTTGAATGTATAATGTGTAAGCGGAAAATGAAAGAGAATCAAGAATAGTACAGGGTGTCCCACGAAACATGAAAGAGAACCAAGAATAGTACAGGGTGTCCCACGAAACATGAAAGAGAACCAAGAATAGTACAGGGTGTCCCACGAAACATGAAAGTTGTTGAATAGTTTAAAATGTCTTCATCCAAAATTAATTAAGTTGTTTAATACCAAAGAGAATTATAGGAATATTTAATGATAGTCATATTAACCCATTAGTGACGAGACCATTAACTATTAGTGAAGTTGTTTTAGAAGGATCTTGTCATAACAAAACTTGATTGTACTCATGAAAAAACGATATTCAATTAAATTTTAAAACTTTTTTTAACAGGGTGACCGTAAAGCATGAAAATCTAATTATCTAATTATCGTCAAAGCTTTAATTTTCATGTTTTAGTTATTTATATCTTTAAAAGAAGTTTCCAAAACTGTCGTTAAATTTTTTCTAGCAAAAAAATTGACAATTTTATAGATTTAAAACTAAATTACAGGGTGTTCTTTTGGTTTTCTTCCAAATTCAAAATCTTTTTTTTGGGGTTTTTTAAAATTGAAAACTTTAAAAAAAAACAATTTTGAAGTTACGTCAAATATAAAGTTTTGAAAACAGGGAATCCTAAGGAAAGCGCAGGAAAAGACAGGACGACATTTAGTTTAAGAATAAAGTCTTTCATATCTATTACAGTATAGGGAAGAAGACATACCAAATGATTTACCAACTGGCATGTTTCGTGGGACACCCTGTATATAATTAAGATGAATATAAAGGATGGTAAACAAAAAAGAGAACCAAGGATAATATATAATAAAGAAGAATATAAAGGATGGTCAATAAAATTGAAAACAAAGTATAATATATAATAAAGATGAATATAATGGATGGTCAATAAAAATGAAAACAAAGGATAATATATAATAAAGATGAATATAATGGATGGTCAATATAAATGAGAACCAATGATATTATGCAATAAAGAAGAATAAAAAGGATGATAAATATAAATGAGAACCAAGGATAATATATAATAAAGAAGAATATAAAGGATGGTCAATAAAATTGAAAACAAAGGATAATATATAATAAAGATGAATATAATGGATGGTCAATAAAAATGAGAACCAAGGATAATATATAATAAAGATGAATATAAAGGATGGTCAATATAAATGAGAACCAATGATAATAAATAATAAAGAAGAATATAAAGGATGGTCAGTATAAATGAGAACCAAGGATAATATATAATAAAGATGAATATAAAGGATGGTCAATATAAATGAGAACCAAGGATAATATATAATTAAGAAGAATATAAAGGATGATCAATATAAATGAGAACCAAGGATAATATATAATAAATAAGAATATAAAAGATGGTCAATATAAAAGAGAACCAAGGATAATATATAATAAAGATGGATATAAAGGATAGTCAATATAAATGAGAACCAAGGATAATATGTAATATAGAAGAATATAGAGGATGGTTAATAAAAATGAAAGAGAACCCAGGATAATATATAATAAAGATGAATATAAAGGATGGTCAATATAAATGAGAACCAATGATATTATGCAATAAAGAAGAATATAAAGGATAATCAATATAAATGAGAACCAAGGATAATATATAATCAAGAAAAAATATAATGGATTGTCAATATAAATGAGAACCAAGGATAATGTGTAATAAAGATGAATATAAAGTATGGTCAATATAAATGAGAACCAAGGATAATATATAATATAGAAAAATATAAAGGATGGTCAATATAAATGAGAACCAAAGATATTATATGATAAAGAAGAATATTAAGGGTGGTCAATATAAATGAGAGCCAAGGAGAATATATAATAAATAAGAATATAAAGGATGGTCAATATAAATGAGAACCAAAGATATTATATGATAAAGAAGAATATTAAGGGAGAACCAAGAATATAAGATAAAAAAGAGAACTGAGGAGAATTCTAAACACATATATCGAATGGCTTTGTGTTTAAAAAATGCTGAACTGTCAAAAGATGATTCGTGAACACGTTCCTTCCATTTAGTTTTTCATGCTCGGGTTTCAATTATTAAAATATCAGTAAATTATTTGTTTAGGTCAGATAGGATTAAAGGATGTAACAAACAATATTTAAAACTTAAGGGACTGAGCGCCATTTCTCATAATTTTAAATAAGGCATTTCCGGTTCGCAAATGACTTTAAACCCTTTGTTTCCGCCAAAAAAAAATATCAATGAATTGATTAATTTTAATGTTGGTTTTGTGAGGAAACAATCGGTATTCAAAACTTTTTTAGGATTAGATAACAAAATATAATTTTCATGGGTTTAAGATAAAAATACTAGCATGAATCTGTCATGCAGCACATGCACTTGAAAGGCATTGAGTTTTCGCCACAAAATTGGATTTTATAATCTCTATATCTTCGTAACCCAATGTTGCAGACCTCAGATATTTCAAACTATAAATTCTGTTTGATCAAATAGTCAAAGTTTGAAAAATCAAAGGTTTACACCATCAGGTTACAGAGATGTAGGGATTAGAAAGTTTGAGTTTGTGAAAGAGACTCAATTCCTTTGAACCAACGATTCAAAGGTAGAAAAGGAAGGATATTTAAATCGGTGGTAAATGGTGGCCAGTTCAAATTCATATAATTTGGTCCCAGGCCTTATAAAAATGCTTATAATGTTAATAAAAAATGAAATATTTAAATTATATTTGAGTGACTTCCTGTAGCGCGGACCTGATTTAAAAATGTCAAGGTTTATATTGGTTTTAAAATGCTTTTATGCAAATAAAAATTTTAATCAAATTGTGAAGATCGATTTCAATATCTACTTACAGAAAACTAATACTCAACCCTGTAAAGGCTGGGGGGTCTGTTACTATGTATAGCCCTAGAAAAAGGCCTTAGAGGATATATATAGGGTTGAAATGCTTGTGCATAGCCAACATCTCTCGGTTCACGCACAACCAGTGTACATTTTTGAATCTCCGAGCTGGGCCAAACTTTGAGGTCCTAGTTTAGACTGTACCGCCAATTTACAATTACTAAAGCGGCAGACCTGCATGGGTTGGCAACTGCAGAACTTTAACTTTAAAGAAAATTAAACCGAGAATTAATGCAAGGTTTTATCTAAATACAATATTATTCTGTTTCCAAATTGATCTAAAAAACTATTTTTGGATTTCTACAGCACAAGCCAAGCACAAAAATAACAAGAGATCCAGTTTCATTCTCCCCAACATTGTGAAGCGACAATAGATATTCACGGTTTTAGTTAAATAAATAAAGAAAAAAGTTTACAAAGTTCATATACAATATATAATATTTATATTTACATATATTTATTAACAATAAAAATTGTAAATAACTGTCACATTAATTTTAATTGAATCCCACAAACATTTTCTCGTACATTCTTTAACCCTTTATCTGAGGTGAATGTAGTGGATACAATTATGTTATGCCATTAATTTAGTTATTCCTCCCTTTAATCCAATTTTGTATCACTCCCTTTAATCCAATTTTGTATCACTCCCTTTAATTCAATTTTGTATCCCTCCCTTTAATCCAATTTTGTATCCCTCCCTTTAATCCAATTTTGTATCACTCCCTTTAATCCAATTTTGTATCACTCCCTTTAATGAAATCCAATTTTGTATCCCTCCCTTTAATCCAATTTTGTATCCCTCCCTTTAATGAAATCAATTTTTTATCACTCCCTTTAATGAAATCAATTTTGTGTCACGCTTTCATTCTCTTCCTTAGCTTTTAAAACTGTTATAGAGCGGAGAAATCAAAAACCTACAAAAAAATATAAAAATTTAAAATTTGAGAATAAAAAATAATTCAATAAAATCACCTTGGATATGAATCCCTGTGCATGAGACTATATATTTTCCCCTGCGCTTCATCAAAAATATCCCTTCAATACAAATATAAATTTTATTAAGTTTAAAGTTTAAAGGTACTCTCCGGCCGAAATTTTCTTTAGGCGTTTAATTGATGGTGTATTTTTCGACCTACGTAAATCCACTATACTACACATCCGACCTACCAGCACGTGGTTTTACAACTGCTATGTGGACTTGTGGCCGCAGCGCCCGGCCGCCTAGCATGTCCTAGCCGCGGCGCTCGGCCCCTTAGCCTGTCATAGCCGCAGCGCTCGGCCCAGAAATCGTTTTTACCCCACCTAACCTTCAAATAATACAAAAATACACAGCTGGCGTAGGTCCAATATTGCAGTAGGTCGGAAAGTTAGTATGTCAGAAGTTCAGTAGGGGGGATGTTGCGTATAGACGATGTAACAATACCGTTTAATTTAAAGAGGCCTTTCATTCAAATAGTTACATTTAATTAAATTTTAATTTAAATTATTAAATAGTTACATGTAGATGTCTCCGATTAACAAATAATAACTATTTATTTCATTATCAAACATCGATATATATTTTTTCATGAAAAATTAAGTTTCATTTTCTTTAAATCCGAAAGTCACCTTTTTAGAGAAAACACCATCTCAATCATTTTTGCGTATGCAAAAGTTTAGAGTTACAGGGTGTCCCACGAAATATGGCAGTTGGTGAACAGATAAAAATGTCTTCTTCCATAATTTGTTAAGTAGTTTGATACCAAAGATGATGATAAGAAATACTAAATGGCAGTAATATTTATAGTAAATTTGATTTCAAACAAATATATATTGGAGTAAAAGATTTGTTTAACGAAATAAACTGAAAAAATTCTTACATAACTAATACAGTATCATGGAAAAAGACATTCACAAACTGTCATGTTTCGTGGGACACTCTGTACCATTGAGAAACGTCCTTCTGTGCAACTTTACATTGGAGGATTACTTGAAAATCCCACATTTTGTACAAATCCTTCAAGGCCCTATTTAAGGAAGACGTATCTATCACAAAGATATGGATAAAATCGAGTTTGAGGCAATTGTTCAGTTATTTTATTTTATACCTGTTTGGAGAACTCCTGTTATTATTTAACTGTTCTTTAACTCGAGAATCCAGGCTTACCTAAACAAAAAAATGCTTGTCAGTCACATCTTTATTAAAATTTTGTCAAAAGAAATTAAAGAATTTAATTTTTTTTGTTGCTAATCAATTGCTAATTTCACCATACAGCCATGTTTTTTACATTGTTTATGGACCTTTGAGTCAGAAACAAGGTTGTGTAAAGTAAGGTTAGAAACTGTTTTTAAAGATTACAGACGGGGAAAATCCTTCCCCCCTGTCACGTCATCTTCCGCCAATAATCAGCTAGTTACGTCAAGAGGGTTAGAGAGTTTTGTGTGGCCATTGATATGAAGACTAGATTTCTAGTACATTGGAGCGCATACAACCTTTACAACCTTGGCCAGAATAAAGCTTAACATCCAGAACACTATTGTAAAAGTCACATTTCCAAACGGAGGTCAATTGAAATGAGATTCTGATTTAATTGGGACCGTAGAGAATTGGAGGCAATTCAGCTGAAACCATTTTTTTGGGACACCCTGTAAATATATATATATATATAGTATCTACCTCATGCGTTGAACTGCTGGTGAGAAACTTGTTAAAAATATCCTCCACAAAGGATTTAAACCTCTCCTCCTCCACAACCTAGGGCAGGGGCATATCTATTTTTGTTTTACATTTTTTTTACTTGTTTATTGTACTTTTTTCTTGTACATGTTGTTTAACATTTTTTTTACTTGTTTATTGTACTTTTTCTTGTACATTTTGTTTTAAATGTTTTGTAATTGCTTCTTGTACATATTTTCTAACACGTTTTGTACTTGTTTATTGTACCATATACAGTACTTGTTTATCGTTATTTTTTCTTGTAAATGTTGTTTAACATGCAAAGCACTTGTTTATTGTACTTTTTTGTACATGTTGTTTAGTTCTTGTACAGTTCTTGTTTATTTTACTTGTTTCCTGTACATATTGTTTAACGTGTGTTTTACTTGTTTATTGTACTTTTTTCTTGTACATGTTGTTTAACATGTTTTGTACTTGTTTATTGCACTTTTTTCTTGTACATGTTGTTTAACATGCTTTGTACTTGTTTATTGTACTTTTTCTTGTACTTTTCGATTTACTTGTTTTGTACTTGTTTATTGTATTTTTTCTTGTATACATTTTGTTTTACATGTTTTGTACTTACTTCTTGTACATATTTTTAACATGTTTTACTTGTTTCCTGTACTTTTTCTTGCATAGGATGTTTAACATGTACAGTTCATTTTTATTTTACTTGTTTCCTGTACATTTTGATTAACATGTACAGTACTTGTTTATTGCACTAATTTAACATGTAAAGTACATGTTTATTGCACTTGTTTCCTACGCATGTTGTTTAAAATGTTTTTTTATGTGTTTCTTGTACATCTTTTTTTACAGATTTTGTACTTGTTTATTGTACTTTTTATTTGTACATGTTGTTTTAGAAAATTTGTACTTGTTTCCTTACAGATTGTTTAAAATATTGGGTATTTTTTTCTTTTACTTATTTTTCTACATGTTTTGTACATGTTTATTGTACTTGCTTCTTGTACATGTTGTTTAACATTTAAAGTACTTGTTTGTGTACTTCTTCCTGTGCAGATTGGTTTTACATGTTCTTCTACTTGTTTCCTGTACATCTTGCTTAACATGTTCTAGTGCTTGTTTCCTGTATATGTTTTGTTTTTGTTTCTGGTACAGGCTGTTTTAGATGGTTTGAACATGTTTTTCTTAAATATTTTTGTACATTTTTTGCACAATTCTTTAATAACATCCTTTATCAATTGTAAAAGTTCCAAAATGAGGAAGCATTTCATATCCATTATATCGCTTACCTTCTTTAGTCTCTCACAAGCAATCCAAAACATAAGGTTCTCATCACTATGCTCCTGCCTAGACAAGGTTGCATGGAGTCAAGATTTAAATCGTTCATGATCATGGTCATATTCAAGGTTGGGGTCATGGTCAAGATTGAGGTCATGTTCAAGGTTTAGGTCATGGTTATGGTTATGGTTAAGGTCATAATCAAGGTTGAGGTCATGGTCAAGGTCATGGTCAAAGTTGAGGACATGGTCACGGTGATGGTCATGGGCAAGGTTGGGTTCATAGTAAAACTTGAGGTCATGGTCAAGGTTAAGGTCATGGTCAAGGAAATAGTCAAGGTTAAGGTCATGGTCAAAAAAACGACCACGGTTGAGGTCATGGTCATGGGCAAGCTTAAGGTCACGGTCAAGGTTAAAGTCATGTTCAAGAATGATGTCATGGTTTAAGGTCATGTTCGAAGTTGAGGTCATGGTCTAAGTCATTGTCAAGCACATGGTCAAGTTTAAGCTCATGGTCAAGTTTAAAGTCATGTTCAAGTTTAAGTTCGTGGTCAAGTTTAAGGTCATGTTAAAGGTTAAGTTCATGGTCAAGTTTGAGTTCATGTTGAAGGTTAAGTTCATGGTCAAGTTTGAGTTCATGTTAAAGGTTAAGTTCATGATCAATTTTGAGTTCATGTTCAAGTTTAAGGTCATCGTCAAGTTTGAGTTCATGTGAAAGATTAAGTTTATGGTTAAGTTTGAGTTCATGTGAAAGATTAAGTTCACGTTAAAGGTTAAGTTCATGTTAAAGGTTAAGTTCATGTTAAAGGTTAAGTTCATGGTCAAGTTTGAGTTCATGGTCAAGATTGAGTTCATGGTCAAGTTTGAGTTCATGGTAAAGTTTAAGGTCATGGTGAAGTTTGAGTTCATTGTCAAGTTTGAGTTCATGGTCAAGCTTTAGTTCGTGGTCAAGTTTGAGTTCATGGTCAAGGTTGAGTTCATCATCAAGTTTAAGGTCATTGTTAAGCTTTAGTTCGTGGTCAAGTTTGAGTTCATGATCAAGGTTAAGTTCATGGTCAAGTTTGAGTGCATGGTCAAGCTTAAGTTCATGGTCAAGTTTGAGTTCAAGGTAAAGGTTGATGTCATGGTCAAGCTTGAGTTAATGGTTAAGGTAAAGGTCCCTGTCATGATTGAAATCAATGTTGAAATAAAGCTTACTTAAGAAACTGTAGGAAGAGTCGTATCCCTGGAGAACTGGAGAGCATGGTTTGGAAACCTACTCCAGGATCAGACCAACTCTGGACCTCTTCTAAACTACGGAACTTTTGTATTATTAATCTTTGCAGAGTCGCAAATTGATTGAATTCATTTTTCTTCTACAGTGTTCGAAATAAACTGATTTCAACCAATGAGAGATCGTTTAAATTTGGCTGTTTTTCACGGATTATGGGATCGATTGAAATTAAAAATTTCCACTGTAAAGAAACGTTGAAAATAACCGCTTTTTATACAAAATTTCTGACCTTTTGAAAATAAAAATTGATACTTTTTAAGAGTGACAATTATTTGTAAACTTTCGTTGACGATAATAGAACAAAACAGAAATTGTCTTTAACTTATGTAATTTTCGATTAATATATAATAAAGCACTTCGTTCATATATATATGTACTAGAATGTTAGTTATAGCTGGCCAAAAATCTTTAAAAAATCGATTTTTCTCAAAATCCTTTTTTTAATTCCACGGGCAACACCGGGCACTCCAGCTAGTAATACATAAAGAGGGTTAAACTACAGGTTACTCACACAAGGTGATAGACTGTAAGCGACATGAAACTTTTTAAATATGAAGGTATTTGTTCTTCCATGTAGTATTAAACTGAGATGGAATTTAAAGAATTTGAGCCGCGGTTTAAATCCGCCAAAACCCGGTTTAAATTAAGCGGTGGCTTAAATCTTGAAACATTTGATATAATTTTAAGTGGAACCAACCATATTTAAGCCCCGGCTTAAATATAAACCGCCGCTCAAATTCTTTAAATTCGGCCACTGGTTTATATAATATAATTGGGCAAATAAAGAAAGTTGAAGCGAATCTTGAAATCATGTAAACAGCAAATTCTATGGGAAGTTGCCGCTTGGGAAATTGCACATTTGGGAAGTTGACACTTGGGAAATTGTCACTTGGGAAGTTGACACTTGGGAAATTGTACATTTGGGAAGTTGACACTTGAGAAATTATCACTTGGTAAGTCACCCTTGGCAAAATGCATTTGGGAAAATACCTAAAACCAAGGTTGTATTGCAAGGAAAGTTAATTGCAGTTGCGTATTCTCTGCGTACATATTGAAACCAGTTCTCTCTGGGCTGAATTTGTAAACAAGAATAGATGCATCAGTGTTCGTTTAGTATCCGAGGAGGTTAAAGCGTTAAATTTTAATAATTTTGATAATTCACATAATAGTTTCCTATGACCAGAATACTTCATTGATTTTTACGTGAAAGATGGATCCCATTGTCAGGCTTCAACATCCGTCTTGTGACAGAGACAGTTCACATCGTACACCTCTGCAATAACTTTCCTTGCATTATAACCTTGCCTAAAACCATCTTGAATGCAAGGAAACAGAAAGTATAATCCCCATACATTCGTCTTAAAATTGCATTCTGTGTGGGTAACCCTCTATAATATATTATTATTGTTAGTATATTCAAACGATAAAGCATGTGTTAACTTATTATTTATAAAAGATAAATAAAGATAAATAAAGATAAATATAGATAAATCTAAAATCTAATATCTAAAGTTATGGTTTCTTTTCAAATATAGAAAATGCCCAACATTGATACAAATATTATTTCATGTTCAGGGATGAACGAATTAACGAAATATTTCAAAAGGAACGAAATTTACAAATAATGAACAAACAAATTCGATCGTTCATATAAAGAAGAAAATGATCGATCGTTTTATCAAAACGTACTAAAAAACGTTTAGTTAAAAAAAGAACAAAAAAAAGAAAATGAACGATTGCTCAGCTAACAAACAAATTTAAATTTTATTGAACGACTGTAAAAAAAACCTGAACAAATTGAAAAACGCCGAACGTGCCCATTTCTAATCATGCTGATAACCCAGCAAACAGGGAGTTTTGCTTTTTACTGAATAAAGAATTTGGAGGAAATTCTCGGGAACTGTTCCCCAAATTCCTTAGAATACTTCTAGAGAAATTCCCAAGAAATTCTTTTACAATAAGTCTCCAAAGATAGGGAATTTCCTCATTTTTGTTTCCTGGATCAGAGTAATTACTTACTGATAACGTTATTATTGCTAGTTTCGTGTTCAACATGAANTGATTCAAATAGTCGTTTGTAATTGATCAATATTGATAAACTATTTATCCGTCAATTTAAAGAAATCGAGTTTATTTCTGTAACGGATTCTACGAAATTAGGTTGCTAACGAAAACAAGCGTAAGACGTACATCTACATACTCGCTTTATCTTATAATTATGATTAATAATAATTATTTTTGCATCATTCATAAATAATACATAAGGATCTTTTCCATCGGTCCAATATAAGTATAATTTTTTTTAGTTCTACCTACGGTGGCATTTTTGTACATGACAGTTAGTTTAAAACCTCTTCTTCCATAATATATTAAGTTGTTTGTTATCCAAAGAGAATAATAATAAATATTTAATGGCATCCATATTATGGTAAAATTGATTTCTAAGTAAAATATATTTGAGTAAAGTTTTTTTAACTAAAGAAACTGCAAAAAGTCTTTAATATCTAATACAGTATACATGGAAGAAGACATTCGAAACTATTCACAAACTGTTATGTTTCGTGGGATATTAAAAAGTAATAGGTTATCCACCATCGTTCGAATTAATTATCTTGTATTATTCTAAAATCATATTTTCTGTTATCATATTGATTCAAAAATACGTTCATCATCAAGTTTAAGGTCATTGTTAAGCTTAATTGGATACAAACAAACAGACAGACAAGCCAAATTTATATATTGATAAAGGTTTAAAGGGCGTGACCGGCAATGTATGGTAGTTGAACTGAGAATGCAATATCGTGCGAGACATTTCTTTGGATTCATTTGAGCCATATAAAACGTTTTGATGATGTATAATCGCTGAGTTTAAGCTAGAAAACGAAGATATATCTTCCAAATTACATATAAGATAAAGGTATAAAGGGTTAAATGTCGGACAGTCCCTTTTAGAGTTATGTTTACAGCTTTTTAACATTCTTCACTGTTGAGTTTAAGATTATTCAAAGTATTCCTATTCCAAGAGTTTTTGCTCAGCATTGAACATCTTTTCTCTAGTATCTCAAAACTTTTTCTTCACAAATATAAAACTCATATTTTTCCGAAATATGTAATATTCTATTTACAAACAATGTCTAATACAAACACTACAGTGTTGAAACAATGCAACGCTCTAGAAACATTATGGTTCCAAATTCTAAATTCTAGCAAAAATTGCGTTGAAATTTTGCAAAATTGTTATTAACAAAAATTTAAAAAAAACGCAAAATAGCGCGTTTTTCTAACAGAATTTATCAAATTTTACTCGATTAATTGCTCTGTAGTTTTGAAACCTTATTTAGAACACACTTTCTACGGATTATGTGAAATGCGATTTTTTTCAATTTTTGTTAAAAATTTAGGAATTGTAAGTACGTAAAGTCAACAAGTTTGTCTTTTCAGATGAGAATGACAATATGATGCCTTGTGGTTCTTGAGGAGTTAACTCTGCAAAATAAAATTTTTTTATTTATCTATTTTTAATTTAAAGAGACTGTAAGCTTAATTTAAAGTGTCCCTCCATGCAAAGATGGCACTCAAACAACCGTACGATTAACATTTTTGTCTGATAAAATATGAATTAGAAGTCAATGTTTTTAAAAACGGAATATTGTTTAATGTGACATTTCTGCTACAGAAAAACCTCTAGGAATTATCAGAATTATGCACTTTTAAACTATGAAACGAAAATAACTATAATTTGATTGGTCAGATAAAGGTTGTGAATCAAGCGTTTTTACCTTTGCATAGATGGCCACTTGAAATTACGCTTACAGTCCCTTTAAATGTATTTATAAAAAGATGGTTTATGTATAAAAACGCTAAATTATTTATTTTTCCTGGAGTTGACTGATGATTTGGCCGGTTTAAGGATTGTTGCTTTGCGTGCATTGTCCTGAAGATAAATATTTACATCAAAAATGTTTTAAAAAATCATTTCTAAATTGTTTCATCCCAATCCTTGTATTTGAAGCTATAGAATTCTGTTGGATATCAAAAAATAGAGATTAGAAAAACTGAATTTACAGTGGAAAAGACTTAACTCCTTTGATTCCAAAAAAATATTTTTTTTTAATTTCAAATTTTATAAATAATTATGCACAGAGGCCGTTCCTTCCATAAACTACATCGGTCGACAACTTGACGTCTCCTATTTTGGTCGTGAAATGTACGGAGAAATATCTATCTATCAGATAAAAATTTAGCACGAGACATCTAGCGGCCAACATATCATCCCCAAAGTACGTGAAATACACGACCACTTTCTATGGAGAGAATGGGCTCAGGTGTGAAAAACTAAATTTTAATTCACAAATACCGTCCTGTACTCCATATCCATACAAAGGTTCATTTGAAACATTAAAGGAACCGTAGACGTAACATTAAGACTCCCTTATAACAGTATACCCTTTAATATTTGTACTGACCAATGTTTTTTTCTTCTTATTTTTCCACGGAAACGTTTGTAAGAACTGTTCTTGTAAGAACTGTTCTTGTCAAAACAGTTCTTTAATATGGGTGAAGCGTTCCATTGAGGGTTTCTTAGAATTTCGCTTACAGTCCCTTTAATATCGGTACAACGTTCCATTGAGGGTTTCTTAGAATTACGCTTACAGTCCCTTTAATACGGGTACAGCGTTCCATTGAGGGTTTCTTAGAATTACGCTTACAGTCCCTTTAATACGGGTACAGCGTTCCATTGAGGGTTTCTTAGAATTACGCTTACAGTCCCTTTAATACGGGTACAGCGTTCCATTGAGGGTTTCTTAGAATTTCGCTTACAGTCCCTTTAATATGGGTACAGCATTCCATTGAGGGTTTCTTAGAATTACGCTTACAGTCCCTTTAATACTGGTACAGCGTTCCATTGAGGGTTTCTTAGAATTACGCTTACAGTCCCTTTATGGTTGCCCAAACAAACGGTATAGTTTTACCAAAATATATTTATCTGTATTTTTAGATTTTATAAAAATCCATTGAATAGAGTAAGGACTGTTATTTGTTATAATATAAAAATACGAAAGAATCTATTATTTATGAAAGAAAGGTTAGAGAAAAGGTTAAAAAAACAATCTATCTAATTTTTTTCTTCAAAAAGAATTTATTTTGCAACGTTTCTATTTGATCTCAATATTTTTTATTAAGAAACAAAAAGCTTTTATTTATTTTTATAGAGAAAAGGTTTATTTGTTATTCTGCTGTTTGTTCTCCCACTATCTTCAAATTGTTAATAATTTACATGCATATTATTAAATCAAGAATTTTGAATTTGTAACGCTTTTTGTGGTTAAACAAAAAAAATTTTCTTTTATATCTTTATGCTTATTTTCAATAACAGTTTTTCCAAATAAAAAAATCACATTAAAACGATTTATTTATCCTTTGGTTGACATCCTTTTCCTTTTTTTAAACATTCCTTTTTATTTTTCATTATTTTTACAATCTGAGACGTTTATCATATTTCAAAATTGAATGCTCTTTAAAGGGAGGTTTCGCGAAAAATGAAAGGGGGTATAGGCTTAATGCGATAAAAAAGCGCATTTGATCGCTGCTAATCTTACTTCTATCTGTTGCGTAAGGAGAAAATTTTAAAAACGACTCATGCTGAAGATTGTAGTGCCATACAAATTCAGAAAGATGCAACATTCAACTGCCCATGCCCATCCCTATCTGTAACTAAAGGATCTGTACCTGGGTACTAGTGGATTCAGATTCAATGTATGAGTCATCCTCCCAGATTTCAGAATGCATGCACCCCATTATTCACATTTTCTAACTCTTATAACACAATATAGGATTACATACTTAATCACAAATGATAAGATCATAAAGACGACCTTAAACTTGACATTTTCAAGGTTAATTTAAGTGTTTAGTCTTTTAATTGTTTTTTTAATGATTCCACAATAAATTTACCTAGTATAAGTTTCCGAACAGTCGTTTCTAAAGTCGCATTATTTATGTTTTGGTAAAGATAACTAATGGGGGTGGGGAGGTGGTAGAAATTGGATTTATGATCAACACCTGTATATTTTGAACATAGGTCTTAATTAATCATTATTAAACTGAACACTTCTTTATTTGAACCCAGCAATAGCCCGTTTATGCCAAAGAGAGTCGCTGCATTCATTATTTAAGAGGGGACACAAGTCTAGAAGGCTAACTGCCATTGATCTTACCATTTAGAATGCAAATATATATATGTGATCTATAATTTAAACTACTTTTTGTATTCAATAACCAGAAAATATGCTTGATTAAATAGTGAAACTAAAAAACCTTCAACAAAAGATAATAGATTTTACAATTTTGCATTTTACAGAGATTTTTTGCACTGACGCTTTTGAACTTAAAAGAGGATTTGCACATTTTCTGTTTTCCTTAAATAAACATTTAGGTTTTGAAAATTTAGCAAATATTTTTGCATATTTTAATTCATTGGTTTAAGGGCTTGTCAAAAAGTATTATTCATGCACTTTATTTTTTTTGCAAATTATTAAAGTAGAGCCCATGTATTAACTTTTATAGATTTGTATCACAATAAGAGACTAGTTTGGGTAAAAGAGATGTCAGCCTGAATCGCTTCAGTAGTTTTTGGAAGATATGTACACAAAACTTAGCCAAAGTAAACTTGTTTCCTTCTTCATTAATATTCAATAATCTGTTTAAAAAAAAGACTTTATTAAAGCAGGTAGACGATCGACCTAATACAACCTGGGGATCGTCATGTTTTAGATCGTCAGTACAGTCTCAACCTTCGTGGGTAGCCCTGTAGATCGATATCAAAATGACTGAATGATTTAAATTGATTTCTTATCAAAACTAAATAGAACATTAAACACTAAACATGCACTATTTACAATCATAATGATTTCACTTTACACTTCCGTTTTCTACTTACACTTCCTTTTTTACATTACAATTCCGTTTTTACTTTACACTTCTGTTTTTACTTAACATTTCCATTTTTCCTTTACACTTCCGGATTATATTTACATTTCCGTTTTCCCTTTACACTTCCGTTTTCTACTTACACTTCCGTTTATATTTACACTTCCGTTTTCACTTTACACTTCGGTTTTTACTTTATATTTCGTTTTCACTTTACGCTCCAGTTTTTACTTTATATTTCGTTTTCACTTTACACTTCCGTTTTCACTTAATATTTCGTTTTCAATTTACACTTCCGTGTTATCCACATAACACTTTCATTCATATGTTTATTCTTGTTATACAGATATGAATAGACATAGATAAAATATAGTATATAGACATGCATGCTTCACATTCATACAAGATGATTTTTTGGCTTTCTTAGGAGTTACTTTTACAATTAAGTAATTAAACCTGAAAGGATAATTGAAAATACTGAATTTCCTTTTGAATTTTTTTAGTCATCTGACTAAACACTTTTATATGACACACAATCTTACGCGACTACATTTTTGACACTGAAATTGTCCTTTTTATTCTCAATGAAAAAATAAAAGATCTGTCTTGTTTTCCCTTGTTTCTTTAAACTATAAAAGTCGGTAATATAGTCTTGTAAAAAGAAAATAAAGAAAATTCTGAAGGCATTTTGATTTATATTTCACAGTTTGGAATTAGCAAAATGTATATTCCGCTTAAAGGGACTGTAAAGGAAAAATTAAAAGGGTATAGGCTGAAAGCTAATCACTTTAGCTCTCGATCGCGACCCATGAAAGTTATATCTGATGTTCCTATCTCTAGAAACTGATATACAACTTTGTCAAATTTATACGAAAATTAATTTAAATACAATTTTGTATGAAAGTAGTGGGTTTAGATAGATCAAATTCAGCAAGTAAGCAACCAATCTTTCATTTTTCCTTTACAGTCCCTTTAAGAGAAACCGAATTAATACAACTTGGGTGTTAAGAAACATTTAATTATTCATATTTGACTTATTCTTTATTTATTCCATTTCTGGTAGAAAAAATAAACTTCTAGTATTACTATTATTCATCTGAACAATTATGTAGAAGATATTTTCGTTTTTCTAGATTTAAATGTGTTAAATTTTGATAAATCTTACATGATTTCCTGTGGTAGAAATGCGGAGAAACCACAATTGAAAATAATCATTAGTATACAACAAAAATAACGATTTTTAAACATTAATATCTAAATCATTCTTAATCAGACAAAGCTTTTAAAGACACCGTTGTGTTTTTTTTCATTTGGAAATGTGCTTTCAGTTCAATCTAGATATATACTTGGCTTGGGTGTGTATGTCCTGTGTTTCCAATAAAGGTCTAAACGGCAGAACAGTTTGGACCCAAATTTTTTGTTTGGGACCTCACATGACCCCGGGGATGGTATATTGATGTTTTGAATTTCAAAAAATTGTATTTTTGAAAAAATATTAATATATCTTGGTATTTTTCTTGTTTTTGTATTTTTTTGTTTTTTATTAGAAGATGTTCAAAGAAACCACAATAAAAGTTTAAACAGAAGAGGGACTCAACACACCGTAAAGCTTATAAGCTAAAAAACAGATATAAAAATAAAAATAAGTTCTAAAAATTTAAAACAAAATAAAATAAATTTTCTAAAATTAATTTTTGTATATTTTAATTCTTAATTTACTTCTTGATTGTTTATTTCTAGTATAAGAAAGCACACAGTATTACTAAGGTCAATTGCCATTAGGATGCAAAGTTATAGGGATTATATAGTTTGAGTTTGTGGTTAATGTAGAACTTATTATAACGCATCTCAAAGACAAGAAAATCACACTGCACCAACTGTATATATAATAATGTATATATTTTTATTATCGTTAAATATTGCACAATTTAAGTAATAACACATTTGCATTTGTCATCTAACCTTATTAAGGATTTTTGAAATTCTGGTTGTGAGAAATTACGGGAAATCGTGTTGGAATTTTCCTTTGAAAATTTTAAGAATCTCCCGAGATATTCAAGAGTATTTAACCCAGTCGATATAATATGGACTTGATTTTCTAGAAATTTCCGAATTTCTCCAAAATTGTTTACTGTGCAGTGTATATGTTAATTATACTATCTAAATAATAGTTTTTGTATTTAAGTTAGCTATAGATGGCCAAATGGCTGGACCGAATTGGCTGAAATTGTTTAGGGAACCCATGGGTACCCTGGGGGTAGCATAGACTAAAAAGAATTTTATTTTGTTTTCATAAATTGTTTTTTTTCATAAATCGATAGATTTTTTTCTTTCAATAATAGTTTTTTTTAAATTCGATCTGGAACATCTGATAGTATAATATATAGTTATATTTATTAATTATGGTTTATAGTTCAACCAGTTTTCTATCTGTGCTTCATCTTGCTTCCTCTCCTGTACAGACTTCAGATCATCAAATCTCTGACGTCTGCAAGGTAAATAAAACATTTTTAACAGCTCCTGTCGGATTTTTTTTTTCGTAATAGGAAAGTTTAAACTACCGGGTTACACAAATATGAATTAGAAAATCAAAGGAATTGAGTCTTTGTCACAAACTCTGATTTTCTAATACCTATATCTTTGCAACCCAATTTCGTAGACCTTAGATGTTTCAAACTATGAGTTCTGTTAGATCAAATAGCCTATTATTGAAATATACCCCGCGCAAAATATTTTTAATGAATTAGCATCAAAAGTGAATATTTTAAGTTCTCAAATTGAAAATACTCATAAAATGTGTAAAGTTATTGATTTAGAACTTTACACTATAAATGTCCGTGGAGGGGGCTCTTTGACTCAACAATTGTATTCCTCCATATTATTCCTAAATCGTGAAGGTATATTAATGTATTCTACAAACTACATACCGCAAACTATCTTAAAAATCAAACCTGAAAAAGGCCCCAAATAAGCCTACTGTCAATGCTCACATAATATATAACAATCCCAATAGTGAAAATACAAGTCGAAAGTAAGTATTATAAGGAAATGATCATTGCTTCTTTTAATTTCAATTTATAGAAACTGACGCACTACGATCTCAAATAAGGAAAATAATATCCATAATATAATGAAATTGCAACCTTAAACAGATCTTAGAAAACTGCTAGAAATTGTTTGCTGGTTTTTAAACGTGTGTGGGGGTCTCTAAAATAATATTTACACATTTTAAAACTTTAAAAATACAATTTCTTTTCCAGAGAATAAGCTGATTTGACCAAACAATTAGTTTTGTACAAATATGACAAATGATACATCATTGGAAAGCGCTCTTGTGCTCTACTTTTAGAATCTGCCAAAAAATTTGCAAATTTGCAAAAATTGAATTTTTTATCGCAATATCAAGTTATATAGTAAAAATGTTTGCAAAAAAGTTTTTTCCAAGAAATGAAAAATTATACATTTTTGAAAAGCCCTTGACCATGCCATTTGAAATATGCAAAAGTTTTTGCAAAATTTTAAATAAACTGATTTTTAATCAAAAAAACTAAAAATGTGCAAATTTCCTTTGACAGGTTGTTTGCAAAAAAATTGCAATTTTTTTTTGCAAAACTTGTGCAATTCGTTTTCTTATGTCAAAGGCTTTCCAAAAAGCTAAATTTTATCAAAATCTAACAAGTGAAAGTGGGTCAAAACAAAGATTTAGTTTGTTACAGGAAAAAGCAGTCATTCAGGCAATGTGCCTGAGGACTCAGGCAGTTAGTATTAAAGCCCGGTTTTAGGCCTAAAGGAAATAGGGTTAATAATTATTTTTTGCACACAACAACAATTGATAAGTAAAGATATTTCATATCTGGCTAATTTTTTAATTATTATTTTTAAACGTATTTCATGACAAGACACTAGAGAAGGCAATAATACTAAGTAGTGCGTAAAATGTAGATAATAAAATGAACACAAGAAAAACTTTCAACAAAGGAAATAAGTTTTTGCCACAAGCTCAAATTTTTCCATCCCTGGATCTATGCAACCTATGTCAAACTATACATTCTATTAGATCAAATAGTCTACGTCTAAAATATCAAAGGTTTGCACCATCATGTTGATTTTAGGAATAGAAATTTGAGTTTGTGACAAAACTTCAATTCTTTCTAGAGGATAGTATTACCTTTTCCCATTATGTTTTGTTACTGCTGGAGGTGGTGGAGGAGGTAAATAGTTTGGTCCTTCTATCTTCTTTCTCCATCTTTCTCTAGTTTCCATCATCTTTATCCTTCCTTCCTTCCTCTTCTTCATTCTCAGCATATATCTTCTAACAAACCTTTGTAGTTTGACCACAGCCCACAGCTTTATTTGTGTCCTAGGAACACCATGATACAGGGGTTTCCACAAAGGATGAGAATTTAAAGACGACATTACTGAATTAACACTCTCTGTTTCCTTATATTTATGATCTGTTTAACTGTGAACAGGTTTCTTTCTTTGTCAGATCATTGAATAAGCCATTATATTACAATATTCAAGGCTGCAGAAGACTTAAATTGACCTTGAGAGTTTCAAGTCGTCTTTACAGATTCATTATTTGTGGGTATCCCTGCATATCATTTCGAACAAAGCATCATCATTTAGAACAACAAAGTTCTGGAAAACAGGGTTTTGGAATTATTAAAAAAACAAATGTTATAGAAAATTTTATTTGTTTTGAAATAAAAAACTTGTTTTGAAATATAAAACTTGTTTTAAAATATAAAACTTGTTTTAAAATATAAAACTTGTTTTGAAATATAAAACTTGTTTTAAAATATAAAACTTGTTTTAAGCTCTATTTGTATAAAGGCTATCAAATTGCATCAAATGGGTTTATAACTAAAAAAATTTAAACTTTCTTATATCTTTTTAAAAGCATAAAAATGGCATTGCTAAGAATTGGATGCGTTTTTGGGTAACAAAAAGTCTTCAAGTGAATGACACATTTATCATAATTCCTTAATAACTGTTTGAAATTTTCCATTCTCCCTTTTCCTTCAGTACAGTTTAGAGGTCACGTGATTTCCGTCTGTGTCACGTGACAACAATACTGCACTGCCATTGGCTGAAGTTCTGTTGACGTAATACGGACTATATGGACTATATGTAATTACACTGTCACTTATATATGTTAAAAATGCAAAATTAAAAATTAAAAATGATAATAGGAGCCAACCTGAGATTCTCAGGTTCCTGTGGGATATCGTCGTTTTCAAATTGGTTGCGTACTTGTTGAATTTGATCTGTTTTATACTAAAGCTTTCATGCAAAATTGCATATATAAGAATTTTTTTTATAAATTTGACACAGTTTTATATCAATTTCTCGAGACAGGAATATCAGATAGATGTTTTATATGTATCGTTTAACGTCTGAGATTTTCAGGTTTCATCCTATATCCCCTTTCATTTTTCCTTTACAGTTCCTTTATCCTATACCCCCTTTCATTTTTCCTTTACAGTTCCTTTATCCTATACCCCCTTTCATTTTTCCTTTACAGTCCCTTTAATCCTATACCCCCTTTCATTTTTCCTTTACAGTCCCTTTAATCCTATACCCCCTTTTATTTTTCCTTTACAGTCTCTTTATCCTATACCCCCTTTCATTTTTCCTTTACAGTCCCTTTATCCTATACCCCCTTTCATTTTACTTTTACAGTCCCTTTAAAGATATTGGTCTGACCTGCCTTTTACAGTGACAACTATCCATGGACTTGAGAAGACGTCAGGGTGGAACTGTTTGGTCTGTGTCTTTGTTATCTAAATATTATTCATAAAGGGACTGTACGTGTTATTAGAGTACCCTCTATCACAAGAGCTGTTCATAATTCACAACAGTACCCAATTGAAACCTTTGTTTTGATCAAAGTTGATGGAGATACCATTTTCATTATATAAGAACTGATAACTTTGTCTTTGAAAGCGACTTTTTAAGGCAAGAGACAAAGAAGGAAATTAACAGAATATAGCCAATATTTTTCTGTCTAGTGTCTAGTTTCTGGTGTCTAGTGTCTAGTGTCTAGTGTCTAGTTTCTGGTGTCTAGTGTCTAGTGTCTAGTGTGTAGTGTCTAGTGTCTAGTGTCTAGTGTCTAGTGTCTAGTGTCTAGTGTCTAGTATCAAGTATCTAGTGTCTAGTGTCTAGGTTCTAGTGTCTAGTGTCTAGTGTCTAGTGTCTAGTGTCTAGTGTCTAGTGTCTAGTGTCTAGTGTCTAGTGTCTAGTGTCTAGTGTCTCTTACCTGAATTGAATCTATTGTATACACAAAGGCATTATTAAGATCCTTCCTGCCTTGCTCAACGTTCGGTCTAAAATTTAAAAAGCGTAATTTTTTTTTATTTTACAATCAAATTTCAAGATACCACTTAAAGGTTTATCCTAAAATCGATAAAATTGTTTTTTAAAGCCGATTTAAGTCTAATCCAATAAAACTTTGCACACTTTTACATATTGTTATATTAAGTATGACCCTCCTCGTTTAAAGTGAAGCATTCCTTATTCACAAAGATACACATCAAATATTCATCTTAAGTTTATTTCTGACAATTTCTTCAATTGTTTCTGTAGTTGAAATTCGCGAGCATCTTATACACAGAAACTACAATTGAAAATAATCTATATTCAAGGTTAAAACTTGCATTCATCAATTATTCTTTATCACACTTCTAGGAGTACCATTGTGAATCGGGTATATGGCTCTATACATGGAGGCGCGCTTTAAAATCACAAGGATTCAATAGTTTGTATTTACCTTTGTACCAGGATGAGACTGTATTAACCTGCGAACCCGGATGAGATTGCATCTACCTGTGTACCCGGATGAGATTATATTTACTTTTGTACCCGGATAATATTGCATTTACCTGTGTGCCCGGATGAGATTGTATTTACCTGTGTGCCCGGATGAGATTGTATTCACCTGTGTACCCGGATGAGAATGTTTTTACCTGTGTACCCGGATGAGACTGTATTTACCTGTGTACCCGGATGAGATTTGTTTTTACCTGAGTACCCGGATGAGATTGCATCAACCTGTGTACGCGGATGAGATTGTATTTACCTGTGTACCCGGATGAGACTGTATTTACCTGATTACCCGGATGAGACTGTATTTACTTGTGTACCTGGATGAGACTGTATTTACCTGTGTATCCAGATGAGACTGTATTTACCTGTGAGACTGGAATTGTCTTGAAAAGGCTCGAAGGTGTTTAGATCCAAGTTGAAATCTCCTCCAACCAACAACGGAATATTCATGTTATTCTTTCTACATAAAAAATCTATTAATCTAGGGTGAACCAAAAAAAAACAGATTTAATTGCTTAACAAAACAATATCAAAACGTTTTGCAGGGTTTGTGTTTTTCAATAAAAATGTTAAAATGAAGTGCGTTAAATGAAAATTTTGTTGTGATCATACAAACTTTTTCATTAAAAAAAAGTTTCTTTTTGGCAGATATCAATTTAAATTCTATTCAAAACTTTATTAAAATATATTGATAAATAAGAGATATGTGACAAAAATCCGCGAAAAATATGAGTACAAATCTGCTGCAAATCTGATCTTTCTTTCAAAGATGGCCAAATAGAACTATCTATTTAAACAATTTTGTTATTCAAACAACAATTTATTTGGAGAATTTAATAATTGCAATTGTTCAAAAAGAAAGTTTCAAACATTCCACCACTCAGGGACATAAAAACAAACAAAAAAGTCGTCTTCATTGTACCACTGTACATGGGAAAAACTTTTTCACAGTAAGGAAAAATAAAAAATGGAGTAATTATACAGTGCAGGTTGGCGATTATATCAATACACACAGACGATTACTAAGCAGAAGTGCTTTGATCCCAAACAACCCTGTTTTCAATTACACGCTTACAAGTAAACGAAGAGAAGGTGATAATTGACTAATTCTCTTTGTTTAGATGTTTATGTGTGTCTGCTGTTTGAAAGCTTGGTATAAATAAAAATTAAAACAGAAAATCGTCTTCGTTAAATTGATATATACGACAACTGAACACCTAAGAGGAGTTTCAATACACTTGCTGTGCCAGGAAATTGCAATAAACGATACATTAGAAAAGTTTGAAAACCCTTGTCGTGCCAGAAGATTGCAATAAACAATACCTTAGAGGAGTTTCAAAACTCTTGCCAGGAGATTGCAATAAACAATACCTTAGAGGAGTTTCAAAACTCTTGTCGTGCCAGAAGATTGCAATAAACAATACCTTAGAGGAGTTTCAAAACTCTTCCCGTGCCAGGAGATTGCAATAAACGATGGATAAACATCTTCAAAAGGTCCAATCTGCATGATTAAAATAAGTCGATATATATCAGAAAAAAGATGTGTTAAGTCAACTTATCAGCTTTATGAATAAAGTCACTATTTTGTAGCTTTGCAGCTTCAGTTGCAAGGAAGCAGAAATTACAATTAAAAATATGCAATTTTCTAAAAAAAATTCCTTTTTTTAAATTATTCCACAAAAAAACAGTTTGACAAAATTGTTTAATACGATTTCTAATTCGTGTTTGATATTTAAACTTAGCATATTTTGCGCATAATGTAAGAAAGGAACTGAATACTGAAAAAATTTTAAAATTGTAAAATTGCTGTGTTATAGCTCCTATTCTCAGATATCGCCATTTATCATGCAAATTGGTACTGTTTTTTGTATTTCTTATTGAAATATTTTTCTAAATTTTTAAAGAAACATTTGCACACTTGCAAAAATAAACTGTTATTTGTATTATCTAGCTAAATTTAAGATAAAAACAGATTAAAAAACGTTGACCCGGAAAAATTAGCTCATCTACTCGTTAGAATGAGTAGATTAAGATTCCTTGGACAATCTCTTTTTTTAATACCTTTGTCTTCGAATCTAGCTTAACGACAGTAATGTTACTGGCTTCAACCCAGGCTGCTAGGTCACCCAATCGACTTAAAATTAAAAAACATCAATACGGTAAAAACAATCCTAATTTTTTGGCTTTTTAAAGAAAAAAAATATGTCGTTCCATCAATGGTTGTGAAATAAGATACACGCCTTTCAGAAAAGAATGAAAAAATCTATTATAGACAATTGATAAACACGATATTTAAGATAAATCTTCGAAAACTTCAAATGTTACAGAACATCATATAAATATCATACAACGTTTTGTAGAATAACAAAACACTCGTTTACCGTTTACAAAGACGATTTCGATTTTCTCACTTAATTTCCATGTTTATTAAGACACCCTACCCTGTATAAAACGTAAGTGTATATATAGTGACAGTGCCCCTCGCCCCCCCTTACGGCCCCCCTGTACCTATCAGTAAGCTGAAGTGGGGTGCCAAAATATTTTGATGAATCCCAGGCTAGAGCAGTGAGCGGAGGTAGAGGTGAAATGTCTTCTTCCGAATTCTTCTTCTTCTTAATATGCTGAATAAAAACTGGATGAAAGGGATTTTTCAGAAATTTGAAAATACAGTAAATGTATCAGTATTTCGGAAAACAGGTGATTGAATGCCCGATTCACAGCGGTACCCTTTAAACTCTGACTGATAAACGATGGCAGAGAACTCCTTGTTTTTATTTCTAAAATGGTTTTTAAACGTGTATTACAGACACCTTAAACTATTACAAAATTACGAAACTATAAAAAACCTTTCTAAGCAAAAAAATTTCTCTTTTAACAAACTTGATATACTAACACTCGTGAATTCTAAAACGATAAAGATTTATTAGTTTGTAGATGTTCTTGCTTTCATTGTTAGATTTCCGAAACAAACTAATAAACAAAATAATATTGGATACAACAAACTAATAAACATAATAATATTGGATACAACAAACTAATAAATACAATAATAAACAGGGTTACACATTAGACTTCAGAGATGACTATATCTATTTCCTTTCTTTATATTTAGGATACGCTGCACCTGCAAACTTGTTTCTTTCGTTACCATTTCAATAAATAGGCCATAAAAAGACCATATTCCAGGCAGCAAACTTAATCTAACCTTGCAATTGTCATATTTTATGAGTTTCAAGTCGTCTTTAGCGTCTCGTCCTTTGTTGGGAAACCCTGTATATTAGAGTTCTAATTTAAAACCAAGTATTTGACAAGATTATATTGTTTCACAGCTTTTCCTAATAAACTTATTGCCAAGCCTTAATTCAGGAAATACCAGGCTACAGAATTAATTCCATGCAATAAACACATAATATCTCTTAAAAAACATTGAATAGTGTAGACCTTTTTGTTGACCTTAGAAATAGTTTGCAGCATTCAACCTGATTTAAGCAATAATCACAGATCGAGTAGCGCTGTCCTACCATTTCCTAAATGTGGTCTGCCATCATTTTTCTTTCATAACTACTGGAGATATGAATGATTTCGTTCAGAATAAGAGATTTTCATGGTTTGTTTTAACAAATTGAAACTTTAACGTAATTTCTTAATATTTTTGAGAACAACAAAATGACAGACCATATTTTGTAGATGGGAGGATTCGGGCTATTCAGGGATTTTGTTCCCTTCAAAAATATTGCTAAATATTGGTAAGTTATTTCATGATTGGTTTTTAGGAGAAGTTTTGGACAAAACAAGGTTGAAAAATTCAAAATAACTTTTCACGGCCTTGCCGGTTTTAATATGGTTTGAATGTTAACAAATAATGCAAGGTTGTGTAATAAGGTTACTTTCTCTTGATGCGGGAAATGTCGTCTTCTAAGTATTGATAGAAAAAATCCTCACATGACGTCACTGATTAAAGAGGCGAGAGTGACATTATTTGAGGATATTTATATATATGCGCATCGAGAGTAAGCAACCTTATTAGACCTCCTTAAAATACTTTTTAAAGTTGATTCTTTTAGCTAAAAGTAAGAAAGGAGACGAAAATGTATTATTCATATTTCGTATAATCATGAGCTATAGATATTTTCAATTTCAGATAAGTTTATTATTTTGTACACCTCAAAATCTGAATTTTTCATGAGTGTGTAGGAGTGTAATAAAAAGCATGGTAAAATGCAAAATTAGATTTTTAATTTTAAGCAGCCCATTCTCCCGCCTGTAGCCACGGTATACGATATACATGCAATTATGATTGTAACTTGTAAGCATGTGCAGAACTTTCTAAAAGAGAGACAGCTACCACTAAAGGGATTCATTTCGCCTACCGTCCCGGTTTGCCTCAAATAGTCTGTATTTGTACTGTACAGCTTGCTCTGACCGGCTAAAAGTCGGCCTGGTACTTGAAATATACCGGAGTTTACATTGCAAAAGGAGGCCGAACTGTCTTTTAACACTTCAATGAAAGTTCATGCTTGATTCGTTTAAATCACTGCATATTTTTTCTAATTTAATTACAGCCTATTAAAATTCTCACTGAACAGAAACTTTAAACAAAATATTTTCCAAATGATCCAATTTGAACTGCGTTTTTTTCCGAGCCTTTAAACCCTTTTCTAAACCAAAATTAATTCGACTTCCTCAGTTTTTTTTTTAATTAAAAATGGATTTTTTTCAATTGTGGTTTCTTTTTTGATTGATTGGGCAAAAACAATGAAGCATACAAATAATTGGGCAAGTTTTTAATAAGAATATATCTTCCATTTTATTAATCTGATAAATGTTTCAAGGCACCGTTGTGAATCGTTGAAAGGTCACTTGAAATTACAAGGACCGTTCCTATTTTACTTTGCCAAAGTATTGGGACTAATTGATTTTACGGCCTTTTGATGATTATGATTACCCCAACAAAGGAAGGTTAGGTTACTTAACGTCCCTTGGGACAGTTATGTAAAATAACCTCCTGCGAAGTTTTTAGGAAAAAATTCGCGCATTTTCATTTCAAAGACGATAAAATTGTATACAACTACTTTTTCGGGAAATTAAAAATTTTACTTAACCACGGGTTCCCTCGACCAATTTTGTCTACAACACACGCCTTGCTGCGGGCTGGATGTTTTGTGGACAAAATTGGTCCTGGCAACCCTTGGTAAAGTAAAATTCTCTGAACTTCCCTGTAAAATGGTTCTAAATAATTATAAAGGGCAGAATTTCTCATTATCAATAGACATTTATATAAATAGTTATAAAGTTAAATCTGTATTTTGATATACCTGAAATTCTAGATCATAAGTATTCGGAGTTTTAGCAAGAAGTTCCTTCATAACATCTTCGTTCAAACTATCCTATAATAAGTTCCTTTCAACATATTTGTGCAAACTATCCTATACGAAGTTTCTTCATGTTCAAACTAACATATAAGAGATTGTTCATGTTCAAACTATTCTTTAAGAAGTTCCTTTCCAACATATTTGTGCAAACTATCCTATAAGAAGTTTATTTATGTTCAAACTATCCTATAAAAAGATTATTCATGTTCAACTATCCTATAAGAAGTTCCTTTCCAACATAGTTGTGCAAAATATCCTATAATTGAAGTTCATTCAGGTTCAAACTATCATATAAGATGTTTATTCATGTTCAAACTTTCCTTTTAACTGGACTCTATATTTGCTGATGCAATGCATGTTATCCAGTAGTCGTTGCACTGTAAGAAGTTCCTTTATGTTCAAAACATCCTATAAGAAGTTCCTTAATGTTCAAAATATCCTATAAGAAGTTTCTTTATGTTCAAAATATCCTATAAGAAGTTCCTTTATGTTCAAAATATCCTATAAGAAGTTCCTTTATGTTCAAAATATCCTATAAGAAGTTCCTTTATGTGCAAAGTATCCGTTACGAAGTTCCATTATGTTCAAAATATCCTATCAACAGTTTCTTCATAATATCTTTGTTAGAACTATCCCATAAGAATAGCCAAAAACTAAAGAAATTTCAAAAATAGTTTTCTTCGAAAAACACTTAGCATTAGAATAATGGACTAGTTGTTCTTGTTAAAGGGCATGGTATATGTATTTTTAAGAGTACCTCCATTTCGAGAGACGTGCACAACTCAAAAAGGTATCCTCTATATATCTGCATATTGGCGCCGGAGATATGTTTGTTTTTCTCGCTTAAAGGAGGTAAATTCCAAGTGTAGTTTAGCGGTAAAATTAACTTGCGGATTTACGCTTCAGTGATAATGAATATTAACAGAATTCAACACATTTCAAAACTAGGATTTCTTCCTATACTGTTGCTCAGATACAGTGAAGGATACCATCGTGAATTTGACATGCCTGTCTAAATTACAGATCGCTAGAAACTGCGTCGAAATGTGTGTTCAAAGAAGATGGATGCTCTTTCTTCTGTGCTTATTTAAACCTTAAAAGAAAATCTGCGAACAATATTTTGAGACCATTTTTTTATTTTAATTTTTACAGAATTGTTTGTGAGATATTATAAAATTTAAAGATTTTTAGTAAATATGTTCCAATCCAATTCGGCAGTGTTTTTCTAGCAAAGGATCGATTCTATTAAATAATATTCAATATAAAAACGTGATATAATTTGCAGGGTTTGCCACATATGTATTTTGATAATAACAAACTATAACTAACCTGAAGAAATATAATATCGGGTTCTGAATCCAAAAATGATGTAATATGATTAATCTAAAAAATAATAAGTTTTTAGAATCAGGCAATAAATTCTGAAAGAAGCTGTACACTAAATTTAAAGAAAAGTGGCATGTCTGATTAAAGGGAGTGACCGGCAATGTGTGGTAGTTGAACTGAGAATGTAGTATTTTGGAGAAATATTATAGGATTCAAGACAAATGAATCGTTTTAATGATGTATAATTACTGAGTTTGAGTGAAAAGTCGACGATCAAAATTATTTATTTAATCATTAATTAATTACATCATTAAAACGTTTTATATGTCTCAATGAATCCTAAAAAAATTCTCCACAATACTTCATTTTCAGTTCAACTACCGTGCATTGCCGGTCAATATTATCTGTGACTGTGTCTGTGACTAGATCTCAGTTTTTAATTTTTTTTTGTAGAAATTTCAAAAAAATTTAGATTTTTAATATTTTGTTTTTTACCTTGTACTGCGGAATGTTTCCCACCAAGGCATGTTTTCCATCCAGGTTCATTGATATACAGTTTACAGACCTTCTTCCCTTCATATCTACAGGGAGACCACAAAAAAGAGTAATTAGGGTTGCTTTGCTTAGAATACAGTTTTCAATTGTAGAGGCTTCATTGGATGACTGTTAAGCCCTGGAAGGTATATTTAAAGCTTGAACAACTGTATTTGAAGAAAGGATGGCATATGCATTTACTAACAATTCATGTATTTAAATGGCAACAATTCTAACCTTAAAAGAATGCACCAACTTCTTGGTATATTATTAAATGAACCAATATTGTATACTTTAAGATTCTTATTTAAACTGCAGAATAGACTAGTGTCTGGTGTTTCAAGAGCGCAAATCTTGTTAAATAAAACTCTTTTTTTATAAAAAAGTGTTTTTCCACTTACTTTCAGGATTTATCATATTTTCGCCACTTTTTCTTTTCTCTACTTCATCAGGTTTACTGGGTACATCTGGTAACCTTTACAACAGGTACAGGTACAGGTACAGGTACAGGTACAGGTACAGGTACAGGTACAGGTACAGGTACAGGTACAGGTACAGGTACAGGTACAGGTACAGGTACAGGTACAGGTACAGGTACAGGTACAGGTACAGGTACAGGTACAGGTACAGGTACTGTGAAGATTAGTTTATGTTTTATTATAGTTGTGAAGAAATTTAGCCAAAAAAATCTTTTTTAGAAAAAAAAGTTCAATCAGGATAGAGTTTAATAATGATGATTATAACCTACTTGGTGCTTGTGGTGCTAGAGGTGCTAGATCTTCTACTTCTACTCTTCTTAGAAATTTCAACTTGTAAGGTATCCGTTTTACTCTTAGTTTTTTGTGACATTTAATCTCTCTAAATTAAATAAAAATAGGTATTGAACCTCTTTCAGTTTCTGAGTTTAAAGGGGTTGTTACTCGTAAACTTATTTAAAAATAAAAATGAATCTAAAATTTTAGAACACTTAGAACTGAGGATTCCAGGAAATAGTTTAACCATTTTGACACTTAAACACACTAATTAAGGTAGTATTTTGTGATGGGAAAACAACTTCCGTTACACTGGACAATTATCAAAATACCACATTTTAAAAACCCTTCCTGTTAAATTAACATGAAGGGAAAAAATATGTAAATTGTCAGTTTTCTCTTTTAATAAATTAAAGTAATGTAATGAACTTAGTATTTTTAAACTGAACTGGACAACATTCGTTTACACGTTTCCAGGGGCAGTTTGAACCATACATGCTTTCTATTCATAGATAGATAGATAGATAGATAGATAGATATATAGATAGATAGATAGATTGATAGAAGGATAGATAGATATGTAGATAGATAGATAGATAGATAGATAGATATAGATATATAGATTGATAGAAGGATAGATAGATATAAAGATAGATACACAAATAGATATAAGACATATATATAACATAGATTGCTATATTTAGATAGAATTATCCTTCTCGTCCTTCCACCTGTCGGAATAAATTATTAATCTGAAATGAATTCTGTTAGAAATTAAATCTTTGAATAGTTAAAGTTGTATATATTATTATTATATTATTATTATTATTATTAGTATTATAGTAATCTCAATTTCTAGCCTAATTTAGGCTTTTGGCCTAATTTTTGTTCTAGGTTCTAGAAATAAAGTTTATTTAAAGAGAAAAAAATGTCAAAATACATAATTTCAAACAACCCTACATGACATTTTTAAAGAGACAATAAAACAATGAAAAAATGACGATACCATTCCTTGAAGTTCTATAACCCTACCCCTATAATTGTGCCCTTTGAGTTGAGATAATGGAGTTTTAAATTACATCAATTTTTCAAGGGCTTTAAAAATATAAAAATTTCAGCCATGTATGCTTAACTGTATTTGTACTGTACTGCATGCCCTGCAGCTAGTTGAAATTCGGCCCAGGACATGGAATGTACCGTGACTTTATGAGTAGTGAGGAGGCTTCACATTTTAATAAAATTTTGCTAGATACATCCAAGGAGTATGAAATAGAAGGGAGAAACAACTGACGCGTCCCGCCCTACCATATGATTATACATGCTTTGCAGACGGTGCTCGATTTGTATGAGAAATTTTTGTCTGATGTACAATTACCGCGTTGCAGACGGTGCTCGATTTGCATGAGAAATATTTGTCTGATGTACAATTACCGCGTATACAATTACCTATTCTGAATATTTCTTATACAAATGTACAGTCTGATAAGCATGTATAACATTATTATTACATACTCCTTGGTTTCATCCCATCTGTGACACTTTGACTGGGACTCTCAGCGCTAGTGCGCTAGTGTGCAGAGACTTTTACGAAGTCAAAATAAAAAATGTTTCAAAATTATTTTGATGCCTCAAGAGGGGATTGTTTATTTAGGTTTATGTTGTCGAGTTACCAATTCTTAATTTAGCCCCTATAGATAAAACAGTAACCAAGTGCAAAAAAAAGTTCTGACATTGCCTTTTTTGTTTAAAAATCTTTCAATAGTAAATAAATTATTTTAAAGATACCGTGCAGGGATCCAGAAATGTTTAAAAATGACTGAATAATTTCCGTACAGTCGTCTCTTAAGTCTCTTGTGATAAATTATATTTGTTTTGTTTGTTTTACCCTGTTTAACTGTGCACTGTTTAACCCTATAAAGGCTGGGGGTCTGAATCTATGTACAGCCCCTTGAAAAAGGCCTCATATAATAGGTATAGGGTTGAAATGCCCAATTTTTCATGGCCAGCTCAAAGATAAAAAAATTAGACCGATAACTTTAATAGTTTGGGGCTAGGGAAGATTGAAAAATGCCTAAAAAGAGTAAAACAAAATGAAAAAAAAATTGTTTGTTTTAAACAAATATCATAATGTGACAGACACATGTTTCTACACACATTTATCAAGGGCTATTCAAAAATATAGTTTTTAGATCTGTAGCCGGTGTCACAAAAAAAAGCTATTTTATATTTTATTTTTCACAGACCGGACTTTTTTCCACCGTGAACCGTACCCTATAAATTAAAAAAAAATATTTTTCACAAAAAATCCTTATTATTACTTAAAAGATACAGGATATAGAAAATTTGAGTTTGTGGCAAATACTCAATTCATTTCTTGGAAGTTAAAAATTAATTTTGGCTATTTTTCCTTCTGCTAAATAATTAAAATTGTTTAATATAATCTATTTCTTCAAATTATATTAAACATGGAATTACATTCTCTATGAAATTGCTCTTAAATTGTTCCTATTTATCTTCAAGATTAAATATTCAATAGAATTAGACCAGAGTTGAGGTTGGAACTATTCAACGATAAGGCTTAACTCTTTACCTTTAATGGAAACTATTAATTGAAAAGATTTAAGGTTTCATCAGAAAAACATCACATATTGGTTGGAACTTTAAAGATATTCAAACCAATAAAATCTTTGAACTGCTAAAAATTTGAATCAGTGATAATTCTGCGAGAATATCCCGGATCATCCATAAAAAATGTTCGACCTCAGATAAAGGAACTAATTCCTCGCCAGGAAATATATTTTTCTAATTTCAAAATTAATATTGATAAATCAAATAGTCAATGTTTTAAAACATATGATCAAACCATCTTTTTAGAGTATTCAGGAACGGTGGTAACAGTTCGCCCATTGAAGGTTCACTCGAAACCCAAATCATTATTTATTTATGAACCATTAGAAAATTATTTTCAAGTATTTTTTGAGTATTACATTTCAGCCTCTCAAGAATTATAATCAATAATTTATATTCCAGTTAACAATCAATTCATCGCATATTCTCTATTTATTCACTATCTATCTCTCTCACATCTCCTGTACTACTTTGAACAAAGATAAGAGAGTTACAGAGAGCGATTAACACCAATAATATTTGATATTTTCCACAGCATGTTCTATTGTGTACAAGTACTGTACACGACCAATCAGGAGACATCTGTATTCAGGGATATTTAAGGATCCTTTGAATAGGAAATACAAAATCTTTAAAAATAGACAATATTCATAAATGTTATGTTTTATGTTTAAAATTGGAGTATTTCTTTAAAAGTTGTAAAACTTAACCCCTGAATGCAACAAGAGGCCGTGAGATGTCAGTCAAAAAACATTTTATGACACCGTAGCATGGCGTGCCGGGACACTATAGGCCTTTTCAGCCTATCCAGAGATGGAATTTAAAGAATTTGAGCCGCGGTTTAAATCCGCCAAAACCCGGTTTAAATTCAGCGCTGGCTTAAATCTTGAAACATTTGATATAATTTTAAGTGGAACCAACCATATTTAAACCGGGGCTTAAATTTAAACCGCCGCTCAAATTCTTTAAATTCGGCCACTGGTAGAGTGTATGAGCTGTCTATGTACTGTGTGAATGCCACCTATCTCATCTAAATCTGAGGATATCCCATGGGATATCCTTACCACTCTTGTACGCTAGAAGTACGTTCTTTATACCAGCAAGCTGGCACTTTCGATCACAATTTATAATTATTAAACAACAGTTTTTTTTTAGCTTTTTCTCTTAAATCTTTTTTGTCGATCGGATGGGTTATAAATAGAAACATAAAAAAAACTCCCTCTCCAACAATCATATAAATGGAAGATTCATCAATAACAAGATTAAATCAAAATTAAAAATTAAAGAAACGGAATGCATCTCGCCATGGCTAGGCCTGGGGAGCTCTGTTCATTTTAGGACCACATGTTTCTCATTTTGAAATGCTTTTGGTAATTCGATGTTATTGGAATATAGTTCCTTTGAGAAATAATTCCATTGGAATATAGTTCCTTTGAGAAATAATTCCTTTGGAATATAGTTCCTTTGGAAAATTAGTTTGGGAAATTGAAAATTTTCTAGAAAACGGTTTCATCAATTGTAAGTTTTGCAATCGAAAAAAGTCAAGTTTACCTTCTTTTTTCTCAGAAAAAAAAACGTGGAAACACACATTTTCAAATTCACTAAAAATAATGCAGAATAGAATAGAATAGAAGTGAAATGGAAGAAATCAACCTTTAACTGTCTCTCTAACTGGTCTTTTCGAACTTTTAAACTTTTCAAATTTTGACTTCGTCAGCTGAGACAGGTGGAACATTATATTTGAAAAGTATTCAAAGTTCATATTTTCTCAAGTTTTCAATTGTTTATTTTGTTGGTTTTATTATCAATCAAAAGTCATGGAAATGTTAGAAATTAAACTATGAACTCTGAGGCCGAATTTAAAGAATTTGAGCCGCGGCTTAAATTTAAGCTGCGGCTCAAATATCACTCATTCCACTTAAAATTGTATTCAATTTTTCAAGAATTAAGCCGGCGCTCAGCTGAAAACGGTTTTTGACAGATTTAAGTCGCGGCTCAAATTCATTAAATTCGGACACTGTTTGCTCAAATAATCTAAGTTTGAAATATTTAAGGTTTGCACCAGGTTGCATATAGATATTATAGATATGGTGATTAGAGTTTGAGACAGGTCTTGATTCTTTTATTTTTCACAAAACTAGAGGAGCTACAAGGATATATCATCGTACCAGTAACGTTGCATGAATTTTACTGTTCTTTCTGTTTGGTTCTGTGTGGACTTGGGTTTCCTGCGAACGAAAATTTCGCGCAAATGTTCTCTCATATTTTGCAGACTTTTTCGCGAAGATTAATTTTGCGAAAGAAAGCGAAAACAAAGCAGAATTTCGTGAAAATGTGTGCAAAAATGCGAAATTTTCGCGAAACGATTTCCCAATTTCGTACTGTATCTTTTGTCTTAAGATTTTTTTTGCAAAATTTCACTGGGCGTGTTTTTATTTTACTAATGAATATTTATCTTGAGATTAAAAATAAAG